CACCTCCCTCTACACACCTGCCCTGCCTCTCTCCTCTGGTGCTGGTCCCTCCCCTGCAGGTGTCTGCCCTTCTGCTTCACCCCCAGAATCATCTGGCACCTGCACCTTCCCTTACCCCTGCACCTGCCTGGTGCCTCCCCCTTCCCTCACTGCCCCTGCCCCCTTTTTCCCTGAGGCCCACCCCCTCACCACCCTCTAGCCCCGATCCCCTCATGCCCCTGTGCCCTCACAGATGCCTTGCTCCATCCCTGCCTTCCTCATGCCCACCCCTTCTTTCAAGCCTTCTCCCCAATGCCCTTACCCTCTCCTCTCCCAGCATCACCCTGTCCCCCTCCCACTGACACCTCCTCTCCTGCCCTTTTCCTCATTGTCTCCACTTGGCCCCCTGACATTTGTCTCTCCTCCACGCTGTCTCTTGGTGCCTTCCCCTTTCTTCTCCTGACCTGCCCCCCTCCCGTCAGCACAAGCCCCTTCCTCTCCCACCCCTTCCCCCTATTTTTCCTGCAACCCCACCTTCTGCCTTCCAGTTTGAGTCTGTGATCGGGCCCGGCCCCAGCTGGGCCATGCCATTTTAAAATTTAAAGTCCCAGGCCGTGACATCACGGTATGCCAGGTGTCTCCCGTCTCAGCTGTTGCACGGGCATTTGAACACGCCGCGCATGCACTCCCTCGGCTGTCTTGCGAACCTGGTATCTCCCCTCTCAGCTGTTGCACGGGGAGGAGGGGGTGCGGAGGCCGATCGGAGGGAACGCATGCCGCCGCGCAACAGCTGAGAGGGGAGACGCCCGGTTCGCAAGACATCTGAGGGAGTCCATGCATGGTGTGTTCACAGGGCAGGCGCTCCCTTGGATGTCTTGTGAACCAGTGTCTCCCCTCTCTGCTGTTGTGCAGCGGCATGTGCTCCCTCTGCTTGTCTCGCGCACCCCTGCCGAGCGTCCCGCGCACCCCACTTTGGAGACCACTGTTCTAGGAGCAGGAAAGTTGCCCGCAGCTTTAAATGCTGACTGTAACCATTCAGGTAGCTTCTGAGCTCCTGCAAACTGCAGCAAAGTCCGTGAAGCTTCTATTCTTCTCCAGGCAAGTCAGTAATTAGCAGAAAAAAGAGCTATTCATCATCGTTCCTAGACGTAGTGTCTGGCAGCCTGTCCAGAGGAGCCAACCAAGGCCGGAGCTGGAAAACAGGCCGGGACACAAAGGACCTTCTGTTTGCATTATTACAAGGGGAGATTTGGGCTCAGAACACATATGGTTGAATGGGGCTATGCCAGGCAGGGGAATGCCCGAAGAGGTGGACACAAAGAGGGAAGAAAGATTTCTATTATGACAGGGTCTAATATGATAAGAGGGACTCTTGGACCACGCGGACTATGACCACAAGCTCCGTCTGAAACCTAACACTAGGCGGTATTTTCATTGATGACTAGGGTTGCCAGATGGTTGCCCCAAAATACCGAACACACATGCTAAAAATTTGTCAAGCAAGAGAAAAAAATACCGAACACACCTGTTACAAATTTGTCAAGCACAAAAAACAAACAAACAAACAAAAACCCCACCACAACCACTATTAACACTGAATGGGAACTTTATTATAAACAATCAACAGTCTACATCCATGGTCACTAACCAGTTGATCGCGATCTACCGGTAGATTTCAGGGGCTCTAAGAGTAGCTCTTGAGCCATCTCTGAGCTGCGCGCCTGCGCAGTACATTTACATTAGCTTTCCTCATTTGAGGAGCAGCTACTCACCGAGCAACAGCACAGGTGAGTAGCTACGCAGAATGGTGGGAGCTGGGATGTCGGAAGGGCTGAAACACCCCAGCCAGCTAACTGTGGCTTTCAGCTGAAAGAGGCTGCTCCGCGCTCCAGCTGATCGGCGGCTTCCCCTCTGCGCCTGCCCACGTGGAGCTTGGTGCACCCTGGCTGAGCGCCATGGTCAGCTGGTCGGGCAGCCCATACTCTGCGCCTCCCGCCAGCAGCGCAGTATAAGGATTGGGGCTAGCAAGTGATAGAGAGGGCGGGGCTTCAAGGAAGGGGCGGGGCGGTAGATCTTGGCTTGGTCTGTCATTTAAAAAGTGACCTTGGGCGTACAAGGTTGGAGACCAGTGGTCTACATCATATATTTCGACTACATGAACCTCCCTATCGCAGCGCCACCTCCCCAGCCACGCCCCCCCCTCCAGGTTTCCGTCAGGTGCCCAGCTAGAAAAGCAGAAAATACTGGACATTACACATGTCCAGTATTTTCTGAATTTTGTACTTGGCAGAAGGTGCAAAAAACGGACTGTCCAGTTGAATACCGGACACCTGGCAACCCTACTGGTGATGTTGGGGGGTGCTTAAAGTGTCCACAGCCTTTCGGTCTTGGAGGAACTGGACGCAATACTCCAGCTGTGCCAAATAAAAGGGACTCATGAGTTCCCTAGACCTGCTGTCCATACTCCTCCTAATCTACCCCAATATGCCGTTAGCCGTCTTGGCTACAGGGGCCCCCTGCTGGCTCCTCTCCAGCCTCTCATCCACCTTACTCGTATCTACTGCCACTCCCCTCGGGGGTTCAAGGCCAAGTCTGCCCTGGAAAATTCAGTCAACATCCTGCCCCCTGCAGAAATTGCGCCAGCATTTGATGCCCATACTCTGCGCCTCCCGCCAGCAGCGCACACCCTCACCGGGAGCGCTTCCGCCAATGGCCGCGGGGCCCGGGCAGCCAACAGCAGCAGAAGTACCGCCGCGTCTACGCCAGCTGGTCTCAACCTGGGGTCTGCAGACACCTTGCTGGTGGGCCAGCCCCCTGCCCCGTTGAGCTGGAGTACCAGCACTGGCTTCCTGTGGGGGTAGGGAGGGCAATGCCCCCCCCCTCCCCGCCAGATCTGACTCGCAGGGAAGAAGTGAAGC